AGTATTAGAAACACAGAGTCCACCACTCCAGAGCCATCATGAGTAAACTCACCACAGCCCAGGGACACTCTTGGAAGAAAAAAATATCACCTTGTAAAGTTGAGATGTCAAGCCTGTACCAAATGTAGGTGTGTAGGAACGCCAGGGCAAGAAATCAGCATAAAAATCTCCACACAGAAAACTGTAAAACATTGCTGAAGGAATGTAAAGTAGATCTAAATAAATGGAGGAGTGTACCAAGTTCAAGGATCAGAAAATTTAATGTTGTAAAGATGTCAGTTTTTTTCACATTAATCTAGAGACTGTGCAATTCCATTCCAAAATCCCAGCAGGCTTTTTTATATGGAAACTAACAAGCCAATTCTAAAATTATATGGAAATGAAAAAGGCCAGAAATAGCCAAAACAGTCTTGAGGAAGAACAAGATGGGAAGACAATCTATCAGATATCAAGATTTAGCTTTAAGATAATACAGTATTGGCATAACAATAGCAAATTGACCAATGGAACAGAATGGAGAGTCCAGAAATAAATTTATGGATATATGATCGACAGCAACACAGAGCAGTGAAGAGAGAACAGTCTTTCCAAGAAAAAGTTGTGGGTCAACTGAACATCTATATGGAAAAAACAAATAAAACTTGACCTAAATCCCATCATAACCCAAAATTATTTCCAGGTGAATTAGAAATCTAAGTGTGAAAGATAAAACAGTAAAACCTCTAAGACTTCACATATAGGAGAATATCTTGGTGAACCTGAGGCAATAAAGAAGGAAGAAAGAAAAAGAAAGTAAAGAACAAAAGAAAGAAGGAAGGAAAAAAGTAGGGGGGAGAGAAAGAGACATACATATATGGGGATGGAAAAGGCAAAAAGAAAAGCAGAACACCCGTACTGGGAAATAGCCACAACTCAAAAGACACGAATCCAGACATATAAAATCAACCAAAATACCCTCTAAAGATGAGCTCTCAATAAAATTACAAATCACACACAGAAACAAATGCCAAATTGGAATTGCATTAAATGCACAGATGATCTTAAGGATAATTGCCATCTTTAGTATACTGGATAACCTATTAAGTATTTACTGTGTGCCTGGCACTGTACTGAGTGCTCTGAACAAATCATTTTATTTAGTCCGATCGTTTTATTTAGTTATCCTACTTGATACATGAACTAACTAATATTACTCTTCTTTTACAAGCAAGGAAGCTAAGCCTTAGAGGAATGAAGTAAGTTTCCTGAGATGACCCAGGGAGGAATTGGTAGAGATGACATTCAGACTCGTGCACTCAACCCTGGGCTCAAAACTGCCCGGTTAAACTTTCTGTGTAGAAATATGGAGTCTATTTTCATGAATTCAGGTGTAATATTTCTATCCTTCAATAACAGCTTAGCACTTTTTAAAAATATGGATTTACATATTTTTATTAGTTTGTTCTAGGTGTTTTATCGTTTTTGGTGCTACTGTGTATCAGATCCTTTTTGTCATAACATTTTCTAATTGGTTACTGCTGGTGATTGCGAGGTATATTGATTTTTTTTTAAATCTTCTATCTGATTCCTAAGCCATCTTGTTAGTTTTCCAGTTGATTCTCTTAGATATTCCAGGTAGTCAAGGTGGGGTATGTAAATAATGACAGCTTCCTCTCTTTTCCTTCCCCTGATTACCTCATTTGCCAATGTTTGTGCATTTTATGGCCTAGGGGAAAGTTCATACGGTAGTACTAGTGGGGAGGGGAGTCTTTAGTGCATTCCAGGAAGAAAGAACTCTATGGTTATAAAAACAGCTTGATAGGTTCCAGAAATTGAGAGTAATGTGTCATGATTTTAAGGTAGGGTACAGACAAGGAAAGCAAGAGATGATAACCTGAAAGGAAAACCAGCGGATCTTGAAGGATGACAAGCTATTAAAAAACTTTAAGCAAGGATGTGACATCATAAGATTTCCATTTTAGAAAAACCCTCAATGTCGGCATTGTGGAGACTGATTATGGAAGGTAATACTAAAGAAATGGAGAAAGGTTAGGAGACTAGAGCAATGAGACACACGAGTGAAAACCATCCATGGAGAAGCGGGAAAAGGGCATAAATCTGTGAGAATGGAATCCCTACTCATTCAGCCTCCTTCAAGTTGTGATCTTTGAACCAGTTACTCAATCTCCCCAAGCCTCAGTTCTTCAGATCTGTAAAATTAGGATAATAGAACCAACCAAGCATGGCTACAAAGTTTAAGTAAGATAATGCGTGTGTAGATAAACAACAAGATCCTACGGCATAGCACAGGGAACTATATTCTATACCTTGTAATGGCCTCTAATGAAAAAGAATATGAAAAGGAATATATATATACACACACACACACACACACACACACACACACACACACACACACACACACACACATATATATGTATAACTGAATCACTGTGCTGTATACCAGAAATTAACACAACATTGTAAACCAACTATACTTCAATTTAAAAAAAGATAATGTGTGTGAAGTACACTAAAAAATGGTAGCTCTTTATTATCGAGCTAGACAATGGCATTGAGAATAAAGCTGAGGTCACACATTCTAGAAATGCATCTCCATCAAAGTACCATCCCAAAGCTATCACTTCCTCTTCTGAGTTATCAGACCTCTGAGTTATTGAGGAAGATAAAGCTGTGTATTAGCACCCTTTCAGCTGCACCCCAAGTTCCACCTCTCCTATGTGCTTTGCCTTCTCTTCTCCCTGCCCACACTCCACCTCTAAGACTGCTGTGGGTGTTGGATTTGCATCCTGGAACAGCTGAATTACATGGCTCAAAAATTAGTATGCCAGCTCAACAACAACAACAACAATAAAACAACCAAATTAAAAAGTGGGCAAAGGACTTGAATAGACATTTCTCATTTCTCCTAAGAAGATATACAGATGGTCAACAATCACACAAAAAGATACTTATTTTTAGGAAAATGAAAATAGAAAACAAAGTACCACTTCATATCCATTAGGGTGACTATAAGATTTTTTTAAAAAAACAAAAAATAACAAACATTGGCAAGTAAGTGAAGAAACTGGAACCCTTATACATTGTTGGTGAGAATGTAGAATGGTTCAGCCACTATAGAAAACAGTTTGGTGGCTCCTCATAAAGCTAAACATAGAATTATCAAATGACCCAGTAATTCTACTCTTAGGTATATACTCAAAAGAATTGAAAATAGGTATTCAAGTAAGTACAGGTACACACATGGTATGATCTGAATGTTTGTGTCCTCCTGTAATCACAAGTTGGAATCCTCACACCCAATGTGATGATGTTAGAAGGTGGGACCTTTAAGAGGTGAACAGGACATGAGGGTGGAACCCTCATGAATGAGATTAGGATTATTATAAAAGAGATTCCACAGAGCTCCCTGGCCCCTTCTACTTCTCTGACCCAGAAGGGGCCCTCACCCAAACCATGCTGGCACCCTGAGCCCAGCCTTCCAGCCTCCAGAAGTGAGAACAATAAATTTCTGTTGTTTGTAAGCTACCCAGTCTGTGGTATTTTGTTACAGCAGCCCAAATGGACCCATGTTCATAGAAGCACTGTTATAGTACCTGAAAGGCAGAAATAACCCAAATGTCTATTAATGGATAAATCCATTAATATGTGGCATATACATTAAATGGAATATTACTCAGCCATAAAAAGAAATGAAGTATTGATTTATGCTACAACATAGATGAGCCTCAAAAACATTGTGCTAAGTGAAAAAAAGCCAGACACAAAAGATTATATATATTGTATGATTCCATTTATAATCAATATCCAGAACAGATAAATCCATAGAGACAGGACAAAGATTGGTAGTTACCAGAGGCAGTGGGAAGGAAGAATGAAGAACAATTACTTAAAATGTCTGGGGTTCCCTTTTAGAGTGATGAGAATATTATGGAACTAGAGGTGGTAGTTGCACAACATTCTGTATATACTAAATGCCACTGAAATGTTCTCTTTAAAATGGTTTATTTTATGTTATGTTAATTTAACTTCAATAAGATACATAAATAAAGTATTTTTTAACTGTAATGAAAGTCTCTCGCAGAAAGTAGATGTGAGTGGCTGCTAGAGTTCTGTAGTCTCAAGTCACCAGTGAATAAAAGGTAGTTTGCATTAAACCCCTGCAGTGTCCATTCTAGTCAGAGCATTTAATGCTCAGGCATTCCTTATTGTTTAATAACACGAATAGCCCCAGTTGGAGCAGTGTGGTCTCCTACTGATGTCATTGCTTTTACCTAGTTGAAAACTTTGTTGGGAGCCCTTATTTTTCCTCTCCATTATCTTGTCTTCCCACAGTTCCTGTGAACACTCCCTGCAATTTTTCTCCCACTGAGCTGCTGAATTTTCTTCAACTGTGATGTCTCTTTAAAAGACCTCACCTACTGTCATATGAAATTCTTAAGTCTTTTTACATCTAGACTATAAGCTCCATGAAGGTGGGAGCCATGCTGCTTTGGTTCACCACTATACCTAGCACATCGTACAACAAAAAAATGTAGATGTTAGATGCCCTTCTCAGGAGACCTGGTGTTTGCTATTTTGCCTGCTTTTGAGTATAACAGCACTTGAACCAAAAAGCCAGATAGTTAAATGACTTTTCTGTTTTGGCATTTGACTTTATAATTATCCAGTGTGCATAGAAAAGGAAGTGGCTAGAAACTAATGTTTCTCTTACATGGCCTCTGTTCTACCCAGTCAACCATCTTGGCTCCCATATCAAAATACAGGCTCCTTCTCAACCTCTTCCACCTGCAGCTCTTCCATAGTGCTCATTCATTACTGCCTGAAGATAAAAATTTGTGTTTTTAATTCAACACAGTTTGCAAAGTGAAGTAACATTTTTATTTGTTCCTTTCTTCTCAGAATTCAAACTGCTTCATTAGTTGCATTTAAAAAAAGAAAGAAAGAAAAATCATTAAACACCCTTTCATTTGTTTCGCTCTTTTCCTTTTTTATTCAAGATGACTCACTTCTGTCCAGTTACTGACTTCCCAGGAAATGGTGCCCAGTCTGGAAGCTGAGATTGTACTACTTTATTGCTCTACACAAACCAAGCCTTCATCTGGCCTTAAGGCTCAAAGGAAGACTGTACAGGTAATAATTACAGGCAAGTGGCATCCCCAAAGAAAAAGATGTTTTGACACTGTTAAGAATCACCACGCGTAGGTGCCTCTTGCGTCGAGTATAATACGTGGGAAGGATACCAATTTACTAGTCAGAGAGTTTGGGGTTTGAATCTCAGCTCTGCCACTTACAATGTGTACTTGAGCAAGTTTTTAGACATCTCTGAATGTTGGCTAATTAATCTTAAAAAATGGAAATAACAGTTAAGTCATAGGGTTTTTGTACACAATGAATGTGTTATTGTATTTAAAGATTGACATATATTAGGCTCTCAATAGCTACTGTCATCATTCTAAGCAGAATTCATCTTATTGGGGTGAAATTTCATTGATCTCTTGTTTACACACATACACAAGCATCTCCTCACCTGACTTTGTAGGCTTACTTAATAATGAGACTGTCAAAAGAGAAAAATAAGACAAACTGTGTGATATACCAAAGCCATGAAAGTAGTTCTCAAAAACCCTTAATCTGTGTGAATTGTTAGGCCAAACAGGTACATTCGTTTTACCCATATTTACCAAATGTTAAACAATTCTTTGCTGCTGCTTTCCTTGTCACAATCCATAATTTTCTATCACAAATATATACCCATGCTTCCACAATATACATGGATCCCCATGGGAAATTAAAAACAGATGTAATTTTTTAAAAAATCCAAACACTGTTTGATTTTGAGGAGGTTCAGAAATGATTTTTATAATAAACTGAATTTAAATGAATTCAATAACTATTTAGAGGATGCAAACTACATTCCTAATACAGGAGAGATTCAAAGATAAGTGCAATACAGTCTGTGCCGTCAAGCAGCTTATAGTCTAGTAAAAACTTGATACAATCAACCAAGTGGCAGATCTTACTGTTCCAACAAAGACACTTCATCCCAGTGTGGCCTGTTCAGTGGATCTCACAGAAACAGTTCAGACAAAATCAGTTGCAAACAGTAGAGGTAATTTTCTAGTTTCTTTGGACAGGTAATCTTGCTTTGAAAGATAATGAAACAGAATAAAGGCTTTCTGAATTATCTCTTATGGCTGGCCCTGTGTTCATATTTAGCGGTTGGTTACTCAATTATCATTTTCTATGTAGAGGGCACCATTATATATGAGACCATAGCAGAGAAGCTCTGGCAAGAATATTTGCAAAGTGAGGAATTTCCTATTTTGTACCAAACATGATGACATTTAAGCAACTCAAGGGAAATAAATATGTACACTATGCTAGATATTCTATACTAAAATTTTTATGCAGTGCACTAGGTAAATTCCATGCAAAAATAGTTTTTCCCTAAGAAACAAAATGTTCATGGATACATGCTTGTTGATTTTTTTTTCCATCACAAAAGGTTAATCCAAAATTCGACCTTGTACACAATACCAGCACACAACGAGCCAGACACTTGCAAGTGAATATTGCTCTCTGGTAGCAAAGTCCCCTTGGTGGGGAGAAGGAATAGTGCATCATTTCCATTCCACCACTAGGGAACTATTTATAGTCCAGCATTCTGATGAAAACCCTAGTGACCTGGAAAAGTTAATGTGCCTTTCAGTGTCTTATTTACACCCTAGGAATTACTCAGGATCAAATCCAAGATGTATACATATGTTTTCTCACACACACACACACACACACACACACTCACTCTTATCTCATTCAATATGAAAGCCAGAAAGAATTATACAGTCTATATTTATTTGGGTTCTCTCATTACACAGCTGATAATTGAAGACACTGCAGGATAATGAAGTTCCACTAGAAACACATGCACGAAAATGGTGGACCAAATTGTGGAGATAATTACAGTCCAACAACACCACCAAAAAAAAAAATCACAGTGTTCCTCCCCTTAAGAACTTAATGAAATTCAAAGGTTATGTCAGAAAGTAAAACCAGTAGAATAGGAAATGTTGTCTGAAGTAAATTTAAATGTCAGTTATATATACTTACGTTATTAAAATGATAGCGTAATTATTATTGACATAAGTTTGTGTCCTAGTTTACAAGGCTCCTTTCTTTTTGGACTTGGACCCACTTGGACTCCACTCCCTGCAAGGAGACTCTTAGTCACTCTTCTTAGACTGCGTTAGGTGCCCTTTTATGTTTCTTATCTTAGCAAGTAAGTAAGCCTGGCAAGAACTCTAAAATAGGTGTAGTTTTGATTGCCACTTTCAGATAAGAAAACTGAGTCCAGAGAAACTGAGTGATATGTCTCATCAAGATCACAAAGCAGACCCAGGAACCAAACTCCTTTAAAATGATTCCAAACTCCATACTCTGGTTGCAGGTCATGGGGCAAAGCTCATTCAGTGGACTTCTCTTCCACTTACTTTAAGATTGTAGCTACTAAACATTAAGAAAGTAGGAAGATGAGCAATTATCTGTTGACTTTGGGCAAGAAACAGCATTTGAGTAATTATGATAAGAACACATTGAGCATGCATGTGTGCCAAGCCCTCCTCAGCTAAGTGCTGGGTGCATTCTCTCATTTCATTCTCACAACATTTTGTGAGATGCAAATGATGATTAGTCCCATCCACCTACTTTTAATATTCTATAGTTAGAGAAACTGACGCTCAAGGAGGTTAAATAATTCGCCTAAGTTCATACCACTAGAAAGTGACAGAGCCAGGCTCTTTACCCCGGTTTCTGACTCAAAGTCCACTTGCTGAAGCACCACACGTGTGGCCCACTTGAAGCCAAACGCACATAATCATCTTCCTTAGATATTTAAGGGGGAAAGTGTAGGCTACAAGGTGAGGGCTGTCTGGAATTATCTTAATAATTGCTGAGTGCTCCCCTTTTAATAACACATACAGACATACATTAAGAACCTTTTTCAGACTTGGGTTCAGATTCTGGCTTCACCACTTACTAGATGGAACCACTTTGTTCTCATTACTGAATCTCCAAAGCTCAGTTTTCCCATTTGACAAAAGAAGTTAATAGAACCTAACTAATAGGGTGTTTGCACCCAGAGTGAAATCATGTCATGGAAGCCATAGAAACCATAAATACCAAACCCATCTCTTTCCCTGCCTCTGACTTCTAGCTTTAAATATAAGTAAAACACACACTAGGTGACACAAAAATCTTCACTCATTCATTAACGCATGTATTCACCTCCAAATATTACTGACCTTTCTTGAATCTCTCCAGTTAATGGGACTTTAAGATGACAATTTCCTAAAATTTGGGGGGGGGGTTGTTGCCATTGTTCTATATCTGGATGGCAACAGTCTCTTGAACATTTTTCTCTGAGTTTGTTGTACAAGTGCACAAACTGACCTATACTTTAAACATAATATCTATGATGATAGATATACTCTTTAATTCCACAGTCATCAATTAAGTGCCTTGTATGTCAGGAATCATCCCTACCCCAAAGGAGTGCATAGTTTATTGGGTAAACAAACACAAGAATAGGTAAGACACTGTGTGGTAATGGTGCCATAACAGAGGCATGTATAAGTTCCATGGGAACAATTAAACCTGCTCAAGTTGTTGGGGACTAGTTCACAGAGGAGGTGACATTTGAGCTCAGCCACAAAGAATGAGTCAGCTTCTCCAAGAATTAATGAGCTTTCCAACATCAGAGTCAGATTTCAAGAGGGTATCTGGTTAAAACTATGACCACAAGAAAATTCTCTCCTTTTACTTGGCCCAGATTATTAAAGACAAAAAGTTATGATGGCTTTCAGGGTTAATCTGCTAAAAACGTTCAGTGATGATTTTACAAAGCAAAGATGTTGTATTTAACTGTTCCAAAGCCACCATTGGGTAGCACTTAGGATTCTAGACAACATGACTTTCTTCTTTGAAAGCTCATATATACTCATATATAACAAATGTATACATTCAAAATCATTGAAGATTATAAGCCTTCTTTTCCGTTGTGTGAGATTGGTAGTTTTTAAAATATTGATGTACTTGTGCAAGTTACTTGACTTGAGTTACTATACAGTAAATTTAAGAGAGAAAATGTCAAAGTTGGACAAATTTTAAATGAATTCTTTTTTTAAAAAAGCTTCTTAAAATAGGTAATATTTTATACAAAATTAGTATACAGAAATCTGTTGCATTTCTTCACACTAATAATAAGCTATAAGAAATGAAGAAAAAGCAACATCCTCTACAATTTGCATTTGATTACATTTACAATTACAATAAAAAAGAGTGAAATACCTAGGAATAAATTTAACTAAGGAGGTGAAAGATATGTATTCTGAAAACAATAAGACATTGAGGAAAGAAATGGAAGACAACACAAATAAATGGAAAGCTATGCAGTGCTCGTGGATTCAAAGAATCAATTATTAAAAGGCCCGTACTACCCAAAGCAATCTACAGACCCAGTGCAAGCCCTATCAAAAACCCAACGGCACTTTTCGCAGAACTAGGAGAAATAATCCTAAGATCTGTGTGAAACTGCAAAAGACCCAAATAGTCAAAGAAATTTTGAGAAAGAAGAACAAAGCTGAAGGTATCACGCACTCTGATTTCAAACTATACTGAAAAGGTATAATAATCAAAACAGTGTGGTACTGTCACAAAAACAAATAGGTCAATGGAACAGAATAGAGTCCAGAAATAAACTCACACTCAAATGGTCAATTAATGTAAGAATATACAATGAGGAAAAGACATCTCTTCAATAAATGGTTGGGAAAACTGGACAGATACATACAAAACAGTAAAATTGGACCATTTTTTTACACCCTATATAAAAATAAACTCAAAATGGATTAAAGACTTAAATATAAGACCTGAAATCATAAAACTCTTAGAAGAAAATATCAGCAGTAAGCTCTTAAACATTCATCTTAGCAATTTTGGGGGGATGTTTCCTCGGGCCGGGGCAACATAAATAACAAGGGACTACATCAAACTGAAAACTTTTGCACAGCAAAGGAAACCACTAACAAAACAGAAAGGCAAAGTACTGAATGGGAGAAGAACGAGAATTACAAACT